GATTGCGGACTTCACTATAAGTAATTTGGGCCATTTGGAGATGTTGGCAGTAACAATGCCAACTATACTGCCATGTATCACATGGCAAGGGTTATGAGGCCTTAAGAGCTGTTGTCCAAAAAGAGTTGCATGGCAGTTTGACTATGACCAAGATATACCTCATCCTCCTTTTTTTGGACAACTTAGGTTGGGATATGACTATGCGGCTTTACATTGCTGTGGTTGCCACATTTATGTGGAGTGAAAATGTTGCCACACTTCAATTTTTCAACCATGCTAGGGTATCGACTATGTCATCCTTGATGTTGAAATATTGGGAAACATTATTAAAGAAATTCGATACCTTCATCCAGTCATTGCCAGAAATTGTTATATATGATGTTGCTTCCCGAGATTATGACCATCTTTTTGTGCACAACAATTCTTTCTTGAGTTACTACAACAAGCATTCTTGGGGTTTCTTGACCAGAGAAAACAATGGGAAATGGGTACCTGTATGCTTGTCGATTCTTGGTGTTGCGAAGGAGGAACATGGCCAGAGTGAAGGTTTTGGTGAAGAACAAAGACAAGGGTTGGCTAGCAATGTTGAGGTTGGAGGGAAGTAAACTTCTTTATTTTCGCCTTAAACTTCGATTCTTCTTCCATTTGAAAACTTGGCTAGGTTGAATATATAATAAAAAGTGTCTCGTGCTTATTCTTTTCCATATAATGTTGTAAGAGAAGCCAGCCAAGTTGTCTCTTCGAAGAAATTGGTCTTGGGCAAGAGAAAAAACATGGCCTAGCCACCTAAGAGTAGGGCATGGAAAATTGCTACTTTGCTAGTCGGCAAGCCAAGGCTAAGGCATCCATGCCCTCCAAAGCGAAAATTATCAAGAAGAAAGAGAAGAATAATAATACCGATAAGGGGTAAAGTTCTTAAGGTGACCTGGATCCAGAGGTAATGGAATGGATTAAGAGATTGAGGCTCATTTTTTATGGTAAGAATTTGGGTAAGAAATATGGTTGGAGCCTTCTTTGTGTTCTTAATGTGAATTCTTGATCATTGTTGACCTCATTAAGAATCCTCCCATATATGGATTAATGTTTGCATGGGTAGTCTGTAGCTTTTAGTGGAGGTCTTAGCCCAATCCTCGTTCTTAGCAATGATAAAGCTTCGTCCAAGTTTGAAGAGGCCAAGGAAGTGGAAGCCCTAATAGTGAATGTAAACGAAGCTCTGGTTAAGCCTAAAGTCTGCCAAAAGATCTTGGCTAGTAACACAAGCCTTCACTTCTTGATGACATCCTTAGCTTGTTGACAACATCATTGATTGGTGTTAAGGGATGAATTTGTACTACTTTAAAAATGACAGCATATGTGGCTCCACATCAATAAGGTCCCATGTGGCATGCCTTTTCTATAGCAACCATGCTTGATTCTATCCATATGAAAGCACCATTGATAGTAATATCAGATCTCTCGACTGGAGTCTTGCTTTAACTGTGGTTGAATATACCTCTGTCGAAGCTTTATTAATAACATCAACTTTCTTGGCTAAAGTTTCACTTCACCCATGTTGAGTTATTCATGACATATCTACTTTGACTAGAGGGTTCGTATGATTTGTCTCCACATCAGACATGCTGCTATATTATATTTTTTTTATGATAGTTGCAATGGAGTCAAAATTGTTAGGAGTGGCATTTACCCACTTCATTGGGGATGATACAGACATGTTCCACTTCAGTAGCATTTTCTTATACATGGCCAGACATAGCTAGATTTTATCTTCACAACATGGGTAGACATTTTTGATGGTCATGTCCTCTACAGTGATGTTCACTACTACATATTTTGGCTCCTAGCAACGGATAAAGAGCCTATCTTTGTTACTTGGCTCTCATCAATGGACAACGGGCTACATCGACATAGCTTCTAGCGATGGACAAAAGATTAGATTTACTATCTCATTTGGCCTCTAACAATGGGCAAAAGGCTACCCACCTCTACATATCTTATCTCACTGGCTCCCGAAAATGGACAAAGAGTCACGCAACTCAGTATGATTAGTGTGAGGTCAGTAACAGTTGCAACCCCATGTTGGACAGGATAACTACCCTCCAGTGATAAAAATCCATCAAATAGCGACTAGTGGTCACTTGGTGGTCACCCGAGTATGGTGGTGTGGTGCCTGGTGGGCAGCAATAACTAGGACCACCCTTTGACGATGTGGGTACGATAAGAAAGGCCAGCGTTTGTTAGTGGTACCACACCTTGTCGTATTGGAAGCCATAGATGCGGTTGGCATCCCTCATTCATGGAGACAACTCCACTTATATTCATCACATCACCATCGCTATGGTGGGATCTAGCTTGATGAGGTTTACCCCTCCGTGACTTAGCGGTTAGCGAGAATACTCTTCTGATTTCACATAGTTCACACTCCAGCCATGAACAAAGCTAGCCACTATGTTCCTTTGGCTATGGGAAAACTATTCATGATTGACCTTGTGATGCTTATATAACATGGTCAACGGTCATGCACATCATCGTTCTTCTATACAAAGGAACAAAATTACCAGTCATTGGTAATCCTGACTCGTAACATACTTCTCTTATATTTCATGTGTTAGTAGGTATTGCCAACCAACAATACTTGGCTCAAAACAATAATATCACAACACACATCAATATTGCTCACTGTTTCTATATTGGTGTAATGTTAACCATGTATAGCCACAATGCATAAATACCCATGTGGTCACAGGACAAAAGAGTACAGCCATAATTATCTTCATCATCTCATTCAATGCACAAGGGAGTATCTTTCTTCGCTACATACATTTGTGCATTTTACACTTGAACATCCAAACGAGTGCTTATCAATATTATATCTTAGCTATAAGTAGGCACGAACCCATGAATCCAAACTCATGGTAAATTTTCAAGATAAACCCTAGGAGCAATGGCTTGGTAGGCATGGATAGGTGGACGTTGCCCATCTGGCAAAGCAAGGTAGTCGTGTAGACAAAGCTTGGCACTATCGATGTTGCCCAACTTCACCAAGAAGGGTTGGGTGGTGAAGACATGAGAGTGAACCTGATTCTTGAAATAGTACCTTTTGATGCTAACCAAGAACTTGAAATCCCGTGGAAAATCAATAAGAAGATGCTATTTTAGTCTCCATCGACTGTCAGCCACTATATTCAATGCAAAGGCAACTGCACAAATTGCGATTATGTGGGAAAAGGCCGGGAAGGATTATAGTTGCTTAAGGATCTTCTAATAATCTTACGCAGACCCTAGGAACTTGACCAAGATCTTGCACATATTGTTTTGCCAACTACACTCAAGTAGTTGCCTAGAAAAAGGAATTTCGTATGGCTGGATAGTTACCAAAAATGGGCAATATTCAGTAGATTAAAAGAACTTTGTTGGGACCAACGGTGCTTCGCCAGAACCACTAAGCAATTCATAATATCATTGTTAGAAAAACTACTAATAATGTCTAGAACCACTTAAAGCTTGACAACTCACCTAAACCTATCTATTAGGTTATTGTACACTCTTGACTTGTCACCCAAAAATTATGAAAATGTCATCGTACAGATATATTATTATTTTTCCTTCATTTCGAAAAAGAAGAGAAAAGGCAAAACACACAAGATTGTTGGCATAATCCCATCTCCCTTCTCTAGATGTCCAGACCTTCATCTCACATACAACAGCTTCTTCATCCTTACTCTGCACCATACCCGCACCCAACAACCTCAAAATCACCATTTATCTTTACACTTTCTAGATCCCCAGCACTGCTAAACATTCCCAAATCTGTAGAATACCATGGCTGGAAGATCGTATGATGCAACTTTTACTCCTGGGTTAGGTTCTTGAGCATTACACAATCAAGCCAAGAAGCCAGCATCAGAATAGAATCAATTCACTCCTTTGCAAGCCCCCAAACGGTCATCCATCCTTCTCCCAACACTACTTTTAGGTTTATTCTTCAAGAAAAGCTTTGAAAGAAAGGTTGCTGCATTTTACAATTATGAAGATCGTTTAGTATGAAGTAAAGGTGCTCATTAGGGATCATAGGGCGTGCATTTACTATCATTATTTTGATGTCATAATTGTATACATGTAAATGCAGCACTTCGATCATATGTTTAAGGCTCAAAAGATATTTTATTCCTCGTGCTCTTACCATGATGCTCTTCTTCGTTGTACAATTTTGATAGTTGTGTAATCATTCTTGGCCACAAGCATTTCACCATCCTTGTCTAGCCTGTCTCCCCTTCTTGTCACAACTTGGCCAGGAATACCATATTACCAAACTTGACTAGGGAATTCGCTACCAACATCACTGGGTAAATTGAAACGGCTCGTGGCATGTAGCCTTTCGCACATGAAACAGGTGTCGCCAAAAGAACTCGCCTTCACCTTCTCGGTGTCATCTTAGTTAGCTGCTACATCATCATCGCTATTGACTCATCAATCTTCATCATTAGCACACCCTAACAATTAGGGTGATCTTACATTTTTCACAATTAACACAATAAAGAAGAGGACCAAGGATAGTGTAGCTTTGCTGTGGAAATCTACCATGGTAAGTCATATGCACTTGAAAATAGCCTTTATAATTGAGTCATATTTTGAAAAATGCCGAAGCTCAATTAAGGAGTCCTTCTTGTTTTACCATAAGTTAAGGGAGGTGTGAGGATTTCATATGGTACCCCTAGCATAGCAAATAAATCCAAAGTAACAAAGGCTCAGCCAAGGAAGATAGTGTTAAAAGTATGAGCTTTTCACTCTCATAAGAGCTAAAAGACACTTTTGTCATTATTAAAGTTGCATTTCTTACTTGGCTATTTTTCGTATAACCACGTCCAAATAGCAAGCTGGCTCCGTTTAAAGCCAATGATTTTGAATTGGTCCCAAGGGAACCCTTAACTAAAGAGAGTGCTGACACTGTTATTGTTGGGAGAGGTACTATAGACAACAAGTAACGTGATTTATGTTTTAGTACCTTATTTAGCTTAATGGTAACATTCTTTGTTGACCGATTGCCTTTTTTCTTGCTTTACCAAGTGCTACAGAAGGCAAGGCCAAGTCCATGATTGCTGCTAGTGATGGAAAAAGCAAAGAGGCTGTTGAAGAAGCTAGCTCTAAGTTTAGTGAAAGTAGCGATAATGAATCCATCGACAGTGATGAGTCATTCGAGAGTGAGAATGGCTTTGAGTAAGGAGTTGAAGATGAAGGCTTCCATGGCAGTATAACCATAAACAAGGCCACACCCAAGGAGTTTGAATTGGATATAGGTGATGCTTCAAAGAATCTTGTTCTCAGCAAAGACAAGATGGATATCGATGAGCTAGCCATGAGTGCAGCAAAAAAGGTTGCCGGTTACAACAAAGTTGTGTGTAGTGGTAAGCCACCCTTGGTTCTAGCCAAGTAAAGTGAGGCTGATGACTTTGCTATGAAATAACTTCAAAACTTGAATAAAATAAACAAAGATAAGATGTATTGTTGGCTTGGTTTGGCCTAGTGCCTACTAGCAATGTTTGATCAATGGGCAAATTTGAAGTGCACCCAATGTTGAAGAGATGGGTGTGCCATCTCTTAAAGACCATTCTAGAATTGACCATGTACAGTAGGGCCAAGAAAGTGATGATTGAAGATGCCTTTGCAAACCTTTGTGTGGTCATGCGACATATGGAGGTAGCCTTTTTCGTCAAAATGAATGAGGACTTCTTTTATTTATGCAAGGATGCCATCGATGATGCCAAAAGCATAAACCTCAAAGTTGGCACCATTCCAACACGCCTGTTAGATCTGATGAAAGCGTATCTTGGCAAAGGCAAATTCGACATGTTTGGTAACTTGGATGATCGAATTGAGGAGTAGGCAAAGCATGTTGAAGATATGGAGAAGTCATTGGCTAAGACGAAGGAGCTCATCCTTAAGTTAGAAGAAAGGCTGAGATCAGCCAAGGCATATTTAGAATCACTTAACCAAGAAAAGGAGCGCCTGGGTTTTAGTGAGATTACTTAACTTCGCCAAACCTTTGTTGAAATTGCCAAGACTTATGGTGATGAACTTGGTCATTTCCATCCATGAGCAGTCATTTGCCATAGACAACTTTTATTCTGCTTCTTTTGTAATGTGATGATTGCTAGCGATATCACCATGATGTAACCTTTTCGTTATGTTTGTTTTGGGTTAAACATCTTCATGTCTGACTATCATAACTCAAAATTTTGTGTAAATTTTTAAATTTTAATTACATAATGAATAAATTATTTTAATTGACCTTATTTTTTTATGTTTCAAGGCTTGATCGTGAAACAAACAAATGATGTTTGGTCCAAAATTTTGAAGGAAAATAACAAATTCAAACTTATTTGAAGAAATTAAAAAAAAAAAAAAAAAAAGAGGAAGCATTGTCTGTTTAGGGCCTGATTGCATCTAAAGCTCAATCTTGATTCATGCTTTAAGCCTATAAAAACTAAATATTAGCCCAATTTCATAAGAAGCCCACATTTTGGCCTAAAACTAACAAAAAGAAAAAAATTCCTAGCTGCACAAGGGGAGGTCTTCGTTTAGAGGAAGGATTTTGCAGCCAAAACAAAAAAAGGGTGTCTTTTTCTCTTCTCAGCCTCTTTTCCAAGCCCCTTGATTTCAATTCACCACCATCTTTGCCGATCATCACTCTCATCACCATCACCCTCGCCAATCACCAAGCTGCCAAAAGGAAAGAGAAAAGATGAGGAAGGTGGGAGGAACACCAGATCTTCTTGATTTTTTGACAGTGGAGAACACTCTTTCTTTCCTTACTCTCGGCCTTCCCTCTTTCCTTCTGCTTTACCTCAATTTTCTTCCTCCTAGATATTTTGCAGATCTGGTTTTGGGGAGAAGGGAAGGTGGCCACCAAACTTCCTCTTAAAGGGAGGCAACACTGATTTAGTTGCATTATCAGGTAAGAGTTTCTGTTGCGACAAATTTACTTGAGATAGTAAAATATACTTGCCATCGACTAACATTCAGAATATTGGTTCAAAGTTAATTAACATATGCATTGATTCAATTTTCAGGTGCTCAAACAGTTGGGCGTGCTCATTGCTTCACATTCTCGCAAAGACTAGCAAATAATGATACCACCCTGGACAAGACTTATGTAGCGAAACTACAAGCATTGTGTGATGGTAACGGGACCGTCCTGGTAGATCTTGATCCCACCACACCCAACATGTTTGACAATGCCTACTTCTCCAACCTTCACCAGCAAAAGGATCTACTTCAAACTGATCAAGAGCTCTTCTTGAAGGATGCGAATACTGTTGATGACCAGTTAAGATTTCAAAACAATGAAAAATTAAGTGTAAAAATATAAGAAAAAGGAGAGTCGCCACTCGTCCAAATTATAAGGTAGGACAAGTTACCTAAAATAAGTCTGCGTAGAGATCGGGATTCGGAGTTTCGATTAAGAGTGAGGAAGGGCATATGCACACCTCACAATCCTCCGTTTAAACATGGTTGCATACTTTAAAATTGGGGTTTTAATTCAATTTATTTATTATATTTGTATTTAGGTCTTAACAAGCAAGCTTGAAAAAGAGAAACCAAATTGAAACATTTTTTAATTTTTGGATTAAAATGGACTAAATCAAAGACATGCATGCACAATAACATAAAAAAGAAGTTAAGGGACTAACTTGATTAAATTCGAAAGATGAAGGACTGATTTGATTAAATTCAAAGGCAAAAGGTACCATTTTGCCCCTGAACTTTTCGACTTTTAGGGTTTTTGCCCTCCATATTACAATATATGGATTTTTACCCTCAACGTTTTCGAGTTGAGGAAATGAGGTAAAATTTAACGCCAGAACGTCACGTGTAGCACGTGCACCGTTGGCCTCCATCAAGTATGCGCATGTCAGCGCCAACTCAGAATTTTTTGACAACCTGGCATGCCAACTTGAAACCCCACGAGCGGGAAGTCTACTTGCTGCCAATTTTTTTGTGGGCCGCACTGCTAATTAAAGGTTAAAAAAAAAAGTTAAATCCTCGATTCAGTCCCTTAACTTTCATTTTTAAACTAAATTTACCCCGAACTTCAAAATATTGTGACTTGGCATCAAAAATATAATTTAATAAATAAAAATTTCTTTTTTTTCTTTTTTCTTTCCTTTCCTTTTTTTTTCTCCTTCTCTTTCCTTTTCTCCTTCCCCTCCCTACTGGGTTGAAGGAACCCAGGGCTTGGGTTCGATGGAACCCAGGCGCGGCTCGAACCCAGCACGCCTGGGTTCGATGGAACCCAGGCACGGGTTCCTCGAACCCAGCACGCCTGGTTCGAAGGAACCCAGCACGCCTGGTTCGAAGGAACCCAGCACGCCTGGTTCGAAGGAACCCAGCACGCCTGGGTTCGAAGGAACCCAGGCGTGTGTGCTCTGTACTCTCTTATCTCTCTCTCCGCCTCTGATCGATGTAAGTATAAAATCCTCATCTTTGGTTTTCTGTTTGTTTGCCGAGAAAATAGGTTGGAAAATCAGAGAAATTGCTGACTCGGGTATTTTAGTGTTTGAAATTTCATATTTGATAGTGATATTTGTGTTTGGTCAATCTGGCGCTGGTAACAACTGGGCTAAGGGCCATTACACTGAGGGAGCTGAGCTCATTGATGCTGTTCTTGATGTTGTGAGAAAGGAGGCAGAGAACTGTGATTTGTCCCAGGCGCTGGTGCTGGGTTCCTTTGAACCCAATAGGGAGGGGAAGGAGAAAAGGAAAGAGAAGGAGAAAAAAAAAATTTCTTTATTTATTAAATTATATTTTTGGTGCCAAGTCACAATATTTTGAAGTTCGAAGTAAATTTAGTTGAAAAATGAAAGTTAAGGGACTGAATCGAGGATTTAACTTTTTTTTTAAACCTTTAATCAGCAGTGGGGCCCACAAAAAAATTGGCAGCAAGAAGACTTCCCGCTTGTGGGGTTTCAAGTTGGCATGCCAGGTTGTCAAAAAATTCTGAGTTGGCGCTGACATGCGCATACTTGACGGAGGCCAACGGTGCACGTGCTACACGTGACGTTCCGGCGTAAAATTTTACCTCATTTCCTCAACTCGAAAACGTTGAGGGTAAAAATCCATATATTGTAATATGGAGGGTAAAAACCCTAAAAGTCGAAAAGTTCAGGGGCAAAATGGTACCTTTTGCCTAAATTCAAAACATGAAAGATTGATTTGAAAAGAGTGGAAACCCATGCACTGAATTGCTTAATTATGAAAACGTTGGGTGAAACTTTGAAATAAATAAAGGTGCTTTTGACTCTGAGTAAGATTAAAGAAAATTAAGGACTTAAGTTAATTAATTATGATAATTAGTTTAATTAAATGATTAATTTGACATTAATTAAAATTAATTAAAATTAATTAATCATACTTACCGAAAACTTTTAATTAAAATCATTAAATAAATCTAATAATCTTAAATTAAAGTCAATAAATATGATTATTTTATTTAAATTAAA